CCGTTCCCCCCCCCCCCATGATCCTGCTCACCGCGTCCCCACCCCCCTCCAGCATCCCCACCCACCCGGTCTTGGCAAAGTTGGTCCAATAGGTCATGACAACGGCGCTGAGCATCACGTCGTTCTTGGAGAAGTTGCAGGGGAAGAGGTCGGTGGCGCCCACCATGGGCACCCCGAAGACGTAGGGGATCTCGTCCCCGTGGGCCGCGTCTGCCCACTCGGGCCGTGCGTCCGTCTGGCAGTGGTGGTAGAAGGTGTAGAAGTAGACGGGCGACTGGTACTCGGCGTGGAGCTTGGCCGTGGCCACCGCCGGGGCCACCCATTGGTGGTCGGTGAAGAGGGCCAGCAACGTCTTACGCCTCATCTCCCCATTGTCCCGGTCGGCCCAATCCGTGTACATGAACTTGATGGTCTCCCGTAGGATGTCCTTCCCCTCGGGGTAACCGTAGAGATTGTCCACGAAGTTGGAGACGGTGAAGTCAAAGTAGGAAGCAGAGATGCCGTCCTCGCTCTCCAGCGAGTCCTCCACGAACTTCAACCCCTCGCCCTGGTTGACGCCAATGAGGATGTCATAGTTGAGGAACTCGCCCTGTTGCATTAGGATCTCAGGGTCATCAGGCACCACGTCGCCGTCCACCACCGGCCCGAAGGCCACGTGGTAGCGGGCGGGTTGGACATCCTGGTCCACCAAGGCGCGGAAGGGTTGACGTCGCAGGCACTCCACCGCCGCCCCCGTGTCCGCCCGTTCACAGCCCACCTTGGCCGCCAGCAGCCGCGTGTACTTCAGCGGCTGGTAGTTCACCGACCAGCTGGAGATGGCTGTCCCGCTCTGTGCGATGGCCTTCTGGAAGAGACCTGAGGGACCTGGGCGTCAGCAGGGGCTGGGGGGGGAACGTGGGGATGGACTCCCACCAGGATGCAGGCACATGGGGACATCGATGGGAGGTGGTGGGTAGATGGGGATGGAGTCCCACCGGGGGATTCAGGGGGCTCCAGGAGGGATTCGGGGTCCACAGGGCGATTCAGGGGGGTTCCTGGAGGATTTGGGGTCCCCAGCGTGGTGCGGGGGGCCCCCAGGAAGGAAGGAAGATACCTTCAGAGTGGTGGGAGAGGATGAGGAGGCTGACGCAGGCGGCGCCGGCGCCGGAGCCAAAGATGGTGATGCGCTGGGGGTCACCCCCAAAGTGCCCCACATTCTCGTTGAGCCACCGCAGCGCCTGGATCTGGTCCAGGAGCCCGTAGTTGCCCTTTGCTGCCTGGTCCCCCGTGCTCAGGAAGCCTGCGGGGACGTGGGTACATGTAGGGACATGTGGGGAGGTGTCCCCCCCATCACGGACCAGGTCACCAATGCAGTAGCCCGTGGTGCCCACCATGTCACCCTGCCCAACCCATGTTGCCAAGGTGGTTCTCCGTGGTGTCCTCACACCCAATCCATGGCCTCAAAGGGGTTCTCCATGGTGTCCACCGTGGCCCCGCGCCCAACCTGTGTCCCCAAGGAGGTTCTCCATGGTGTCCCAACGTCCCCACGCCCGACCCGTGTCCCCGAGGTTGCCCCCCGTACCGAGGACGCCCAGGCGGTAGTTCATGGTGACGACGATGACGTTGCCGTAGGCCGCCAACACGCTGCCATCAAACATGTTCCCCGTCCCCTCCATGTAGGAGCCGCCGTGGAGGAAGAGCATCACCGGCTTCTTCCCGCTGTCCCGGATGTCT